TCTACAAAATCTTCGGATTAAAATACTATAATCAAGCAAAGAATTGCATTACGTATATGTTGTATAGTTATATATCGTAGCACAAAAGGTTCTTATATTATATAAAAAAATAGGAATAGTTATACTTATACTTAAAGTACTTCTATTTTATAAATTAATTAACACAATTATTACTAATTAACCGTATAGCAACAACTCGATTATATAAGCTTCTTATGTCAGATTCATCTTGCAAATACCCTCAAACACATTAAATAAGTTGTAAACTTCTTTTTCCTTATTGAAATGATAGGATCTGCATAGGAGCATTCTTGATAAAGGCAGATTTTACCAACTATATACAATATAGAATTTCTCCTGGAAAGTAGAACTCAGTAAGAAATTAAGGCACCCATCTGGGTTAGACACATAAGATAAATTCAACAGATTTGATAATCAATAGTTAAAAGGAAATTGAAAGTCTTCATGATGGGGATTTGAGGAATTAGTACACCTTAAATAATGGTGAGAATTAAAAATTCAAATAGTCAAATAGAAGATATTTTATAGTTAGTATCTATCTAGAAATTCAAAATTTAAGAAGAATTAGAATTATTATATTAAAGAGGTATTCTAGAATTATATTAGAAATTCTTAATGATCAAATTTAATCATATGAAGAGGTAATTAAATTTTAGATGCTGCATTTTTTATTACTCAAAATCATTAAAAATGTCTTTTTATAAAAAAATGCTAAAAACAGTATCTGTATTTAAATTAGCATCACGTTTAATGTAATTATAATTATAAAATTGATAATAGAAGGGAGATTAGCTAGTAAAATACAATTATCTTATTATATGAGTTAATAAAGTTTTGCTCAATAATTCAAAGCATATATATTTATTATGTACTAATGTAATTATCCATTGTTTTACTAATTTAGTAAATTTACTTAAACTAACCTATTTTATAATCCGTTACAATTACAACAAAGGCACAAAGTAGAAATTGCTAGTTATAAATCCAAAATATTAATCTTCTTCAATTTCCTTTGCTTAAGCTGCCTACTTTAATTTAGCACTTTTATAACTTCTCAAGCATTTACCTTTCTTAAATCGCCTACTGTAAGAAAATTAAGTAAGAGGTGCTATGTGAATTTGTTATCATCGTCAGAAAGAATATTCTTCTCTCGAGCATTTTTTGATTCAAAATTATTCAAATTTCCATTACACTTATCATATTTTAAATGACCTTAAAATATTTTTATTTTTTATTTTTTATAATTCTAAATCTTATTTTATAGTATTGTGTATAAAATAAAAGCGATCAATCAATTTACCTACTTATTATTTTTCACATTTATGTAACTCTGAATATTACTTCGAATTTATGTTATTGGGTGCTTCTATTTTTCCAATTTAGCTAATGCTACTCATTCACATCATATGATAAACCAAACTTCCTTTTAATTTGAAGAAGTCTCTATTATAATTGAAAAGACAACCTCTCAGTTTAATATTCCACACAATCTAGAAGCTTTCTTGGAGAAGTTGGTGCTTATGATAATTCAATTTTCAATAAGTGAAGACAATCAAATTCAAATCAGTAGCGAAATCGTATTGAGACAATGTCATTAGAAGCTCTTTAGCTCATGGATGAGCAAAAATATATCGTTGTTTCAAAAGGAGCTTAGGTGGAGGCAAATAAGATTAATACATGACGAGAATTTCAGATGTACAATTATTACAAAGTTGCAGTATGCATTGATGCATAAACGCAATATTTTTTCATCAAGTAAATAAGATTGGATTGGTGATCTAATAAATTTAACTAGAGTAAATGATTAGTGTTGATAATAGCATTGATTTTGAAGAAGATTTATTTTGTACAGCATAANCACCCATCTGGGTTAGACACATAAGATAAATTCAACAGATTTGATAATCAATAGTTAAAAGGAAATTGAAAGTCTTCATGATGGGGATTTGAGGAATTAGTACACCTTAAATAATGGTGAGAATTAAAAATTCAAATAGTCAAATAGAAGATATTTTATAGTTAGTATCTATCTAGAAATTCAAAATTTAAGAAGAATTAGAATTATTATATTAAAGAGGTATTCTAGAATTATATTAGAAATTCTTAATGATCAAATTTAATCATATGAAGAGGTAATTAAATTTTAGATGCTGCATTTTTTATTACTCAAAATCATTAAAAATGTCTTTTTATAAAAAAATGCTAAAAACAGTATCTGTATTTAAATTAGCATCACGTTTAATGTAATTATAATTATAAAATTGATAATAGAAGGGAGATTAGCTAGTAAAATACAATTATCTTATTATATGAGTTAATAAAGTTTTGCTCAATAATTCAAAGCATATATATTTATTATGTACTAATGTAATTATCCATTGTTTTACTAATTTAGTAAATTTACTTAAACTAACCTATTTTATAATCCGTTACAATTACAACAAAGGCACAAAGTAGAAATTGCTAGTTATAAATCCAAAATATTAATCTTCTTCAATTTCCTTTGCTTAAGCTGCCTACTTTAATTTAGCACTTTTATAACTTCTCAAGCATTTACCTTTCTTAAATCGCCTACTGTAAGAAAATTAAGTAAGAGGTGCTATGTGAATTTGTTATCATCGTCAGAAAGAATATTCTTCTCTCGAGCATTTTTTGATTCAAAATTATTCAAATTTCCATTACACTTATCATATTTTAAATGACCTTAAAATATTTTTATTTTTTATTTTTTATAATTCTAAATCTTATTTTATAGTATTGTGTATAAAATAAAAGCGATCAATC